TCTGTTGATGCTGAATCTCTGCTTAAGTATATGTCTTATCCTTTTCTTGAATGCTTCTGAACTCCTATATGTAAAAAAATAAAAAGTTGACGGAAATGACTTTAAGGAATAGTTATCTATAGAGATATTTTTTACCAATAAATTGGTCTTCTCTTGCCTTAAAAATAATTTTTTTTACTACTTCTTAATAACCTTCATTTTTTGAGAACATTTTCAAAAATATATTGAAAAAATGGTTCTGAATAAAATATACTGAAGAAAAATAAATTTACTTAGAAATATATCGTACTGTTGTAACCTTTTTCAGCCTTCTTATTTTTCACCGTAAAAGGGCGCGCAAGAGCCACCAGATATATTTTTTGCAGCTGTGTAGTCAACGTAAATAAAGCATTCTTCAAACAGTACAGACCGGTACTTTTCCATCGCATTCACATACATTTGTAAAATTTCTTTAGGTATACCTTTCCCTTTGATGCCCAAAACATTTGCTTATTTTATTTAATAGCTAATATATTCTAGATTGTAAAATTCCAATTAAAATCTTCCACAAGTATTCTCCTATAACGGACAGAATCTTCAGAATATGTTTCACATTTCTCTTCATTTACTGAATGGAATATCTCTTTCTCTTAGCACTCACATCTTACCTGAGAATTAATAAATTATTTCTTTTATGTTTCTTATTCAATCAAATGTTCATCATCCATCGCAACACATGACGTATGAATATCGAAATGTCTAATCAGTCGAAGCCAAGTATGTTTGTTACCAAATGTACAAGTATGTTGTATCTGAATTTCGATTGGTCATTCAGTAATGTCTCGCATCCTTTTGACTGACACTCTTAACTAGTATAAATTTCCTTTAATTTTATCCTGCGTAATATTTTAATTTGTAATAGCCCTGGCATTCAGGACTCGCGCGAAAATAGTTATTGTTTGTCCGCCTGACGGAATTCAATCGTAATCGCATCTGTTAAAAGTTAACAGCTTGCATTTTTCAAAAAAAAAAAAAAAAAAAAATTTACATCAGAATCTACTGAACGATATCTTTCCACCAATCACAGCCTCCGTATGAGGAGGTCATGCTGATCCAAGATTTCCTGTTGCCGCTTCATATAAATAGCCAGGACTCTTAAAAATTTCTCTCTTTGTCTTGTCTTCAAAATGTATAACTAGCAGCTGCCCGTCTTTGTTCTTTATTGTGTTGTCCATTCCCTGTTTTTTTTTTTTTTTTTTTTGTCAAAATGTACAATAAACCATATTTCTTTCAACAAAGGACTGCTTCATCAATAACATCAAACATCGCAAATATGATTTAATTAAAGAATTCCTTACACTTGCCACGTTATGTTATATATATACATATGTGGGAATCTCTCTCTCTCTCTAACCGAAATCTTCCAAAAAAGTTAGATTCTTCAGATTGCGGGTTTTTTTTATTTGGCGGGGTGTCTAGGGGTTTTTACGATGTATGGGTTAATTTTGAGAAATAGAATAGACAAAGTAGTTTAAAGAAACTAAATAATTTATTACAAACTATAGGAAAGTATTTACATGGGGAATATTTACAAAATAGAACTTAGGACATGCAGGAATTTAAAAATATAGGAACATTTAAAGGCAGACATTAATATAGAAACATTAATATAGGAAGGATAGATAGTCAATCCCTTCTGGGAGGACGTTAGAAATTAAATAATTCTCATGTGATGTGCAGGTGACATACCGCCAGTTGGGGTGAAAGAAGCGCGGATGCACTAATACGACGCTTCCTTGTCGATGGTTAGTGGGCCTCTGACGAGAAAATCGCGTCAGCGTTTTAATAAACATGCTAGATGGTGTTGCTGTGGAATGCTGTTTTAACTAACATTTCCGTCCTCTGCAAAGGGATGATCTAACCTTTTACAAAAAGAGAAAGTTCTATGGGATATCCTACATATATATATATATATATATATATATATAATATTAGTATAAATTCATAAGCAGGTATTTTTAACATTTATAAACCCGTGCACCACGCAATGTATAACACGGGGGCATACAACACAGACAGAAAAAAGGATTACAACACCATGCCTTCTCCGGGATTCGAACCCAGTCCCTACGGCACCGCAGTCAGCTTCACTGAGCACTATACCGGATGGGCGGCCATAAGCAGGTTTGACTAATCGTATATATATAAATTATCCAATGATTTTCATAAAGTAACAAATTATTTCACACTTATCTTCCCAAAGATTTTGCTTTTTTAATTTAAGTGCTTCGGAAAAAATTCATTTATACCATAAGTTTTCAAACTTTGTTGATTTACTGAATCCTTATAGAACTTTAAGATTGAAACGCCCCATCCCACACAAACCTTTAAAAGAATATATATTAAAATAGTATTTAAAGCTGTGATAAATATGTCATAGGTACTTTATGAAAAGGCAGTTAAAGAAAAGTATCGTATTTTTCAAAAAACTTTTAACATAAAATTATTTTGCTCATTAATAACATTATTTCGTGTGCTGCACGTGTCATCTACTCTTGTTTTATATCTGACTGGTATGTGCTTGCATTTTTTTTTCCTTTTACGCAAACTATCGAAGTCTAGCTCTATTGCAGTTACCTACCGTCGTATTTCATATTCTGCGTTTAATTTGTTTCTATATTTTGTTTTTGTTCGGTGTACGTTATAAAAGATTTTTCATTTCAATACATTGTTCCGAATCACATTAAAATGCTTGTATCTGTCTGAGATATATCTGTGTTCTGTATGGAAATTTGCATCAAAAATTTAGGAGCTGTTCTGACTTAATATTAGATTTTAAAGTAGAATCTGTTGATTTGTCGATAAGTTGTTCCCTCTTCTTCTTTGGAAAGCCTTCTGATTTATTGTAGCACTTGAGCGAATTTTCCATCCATTCATGTTTAGTTTCTCACGGGAAAATATTGTCTTGTAGTTTTTTTTAATTGAAAAAGTTTTCCAGTATATAATTTTTAACACTGACGTTTAAATTTAATTCATATTCTATGAAGTAACTGTTTAGTTTTGCAAATGATTACCTGTTATTCTCTTTGACATATGATGACCACAAGTTAAGCTTTAAAAACCAACGCATTCTTTTTTTAAAAAAGTTTATAATGCCTACATTAAATCCTCGGTAATGATAACCATTGCAATCATATTTCACCACATTATTCTGCAGTAACCGGGATTTCGTTCGCTTAAAAATAATCTGACTTTACCTTTTAACTAAAAAAGTTGGTTCAAATTTTTTTCTTCGATAACTATCTGACTTCTAAATGTAAAATCAGGGTTCTAACGTTTTTAGATAATAATTTTCACGTTAAAGCAAATATCTCGAATTTAATTATCTTGATTTTGTGAAATTTATAATTTTCACAGCATCATTTAAAACATGTTTTAATGTATTCGATATTCTTTTTACCACAATCCCGTAGCAATGAATACAACGAGAATGTTTAATATGTGATTTAACTGAAGCGATTTGTAATACAGTGAAATGAGTTGAACGCATTAACCGATATTTCGCTTAAGACGAAATAATACAACGGTTCCGACAAACTACTATGTATTTTCATGCATTTTTCTCTTAACACGGAAAGAAAATCGCTTAACATGAAAAGATTTTTCTTCTGAAAATGAAAAAAATACGAAAAACACCAACCATGTTGGACAATCCTATTGCATTATCGGAAGAATTCATAGCAGTAGATCAAGGGTATCAAACTCAAAGGCTAACTTGGGCCAAACAAACACGATTTAACTTTGAATGGGCAGCAAAAAAATCAATATTCATAGAAACATAGGTTTATTTCGAATAATTGATTATAATTAGCATGAAAAAAAGAACAAGAACAATTTAATGTTTATCTCCGTACACTTAACATCTCTTCTCCAGTACTATCTTTCGTTTTTCAGGAAAAATTTTGTACGCAGTGATCTTCAAAACTGACTCAAGGTTAGGCCGGGATACAAAAATGCTCGTTGTAGACCACATGCGGCCCGCGGGCCGGGGGTTTGACACCCCTACAGTAGATAATGATAATGAGTGTACTTCCCCAATTTTGTTAAGACAAAGACATTTTGGAGTTTGTTCAAAGATAAAAAAATAACATTGCTGCAGATTCTGACTATGGAAATAAAATGAATAATGCAACTCCCATTCTTGCATCAATAAAATGAGGAACGGCATGCGAAGTATGCGCCCATGCGCAGTAATTTAGACGCACAATGAATAACAAAATGGACGATATTGAACTGTTGCTCTGGCTACTTGGCTTTAGTTACCTTTTTTTTAACGAAATAAAGATTCTGAGATTTTTGTCTTTTCTGTATAAATATTGGAAACTAAATAAACGATTACGATGACAAATTTCCACACGTTTCCCTCTTTTTCAAGGTCATTCTACTTCCATTTGCTTCGTTCACCTTTAAACATGTCATAAAACACGAATACGCTTTTTATCCCTTTTTTTAGGCTGATTTTTAACGTAGGATTTCTCTTATAATGTCTCTTGAATACATGCATGCAAACAAGTAATATTTCCAGGAAATTGTTCAAAAGAGACGTTGTCTAGAGCAGCATTTTTTAAAAGATACTCTCCTGTTAACTTGCGAAGTGACTTTAGATTCTTGTGGTCATATAAACTCCATAGAGAACTTGAATCTATTTTGGATACCTTTTTATAAACCTACAGAAATATAAACCATCTTTTTTCAATTCTTACTATTAGCTCACTCACTCCCTATATATATGTGTGTGTGTGTATTTATTTATATCTCGTTCAAATTTTCTATCGTTAATAAAATACTTTCTATTCATCCATTCAAATTCAAATGCATTTTCTTAAACTTGTAGTGGATAACACATGATGTGAATACAGTCTTTTTCAAATTTTAATTCATTAATTAAATTAAAAAATGAATAAATAGAAACAAAAAATAATAGTTCAACAGCGTATATAGAAAGGAAAATCATTCGTTGTATTCCAGTAGCGCAATGGTATCGCGTTGGACTTCTAATCCAAAGGTCGTTGATTTGAGTCCCACCTGGGATGTCGTAATTTCTGAGAATGTGATTTTTTTTTACTAACTATTTTATTAGAATAATTGAATTTAATGAATGAATAAATAGTAACAAACAAAAAAATAGTCCAACACCATATATAGAAAGGAAAATGAAAAATTACAAGGAAATATTGCTATCTATTTTTTCACTTAATATTGATAATAATTATTAATTGTTACTATTTAATAATTAGTAACGAAAATAAAATTTTTCTCCCTCTGTTGACCTAAGTAAGAATTGACATAATTTTTTTTATATTGCTTGTTTAACTTTTGTGTGGGGGGGGGACATTATACTGATATATTTATAATTTTCTTTCCACATTTTCTTTCTAATTTTCTAAAAAATTTTATTTTCTAAAATAATTTTTAGCCACTGATTTATGCTAACAAAAACCAAAATACCTACAAAAATAAAACCATCCTTTTTTAACATATAGAGACATATACTGGATATGATTATTTATATTTGTCTGTGCTGTTTGGAGACAAAATCTTGACAATGAAATGTTTCCCTTATTTAATAAAATTGCCGATGCTTCTTCTAAAAAAAGTATTTGAAGCGATATTCATCATCACTTAATGTTATTAATATTGATTGAGGTAGCTGTTTGGACTTTTTTTGTAGACTGTATGTCACTTTTGTGTCCTATAAGCTGTTCAAAATCCCTCTGGAAGGTCGATTCAAAAGATAAAAGTTGTGACTTATTTCCTCGAAGGACATTTTAAGGATACTAGATGTGCGTTAGTGTACTTCCAGGAATAATCAAGGAAAACTCTAAACTGAAATCGTGACAGTGAAATAGACGTTGAAAACACATGCGTTTTTAATTTCTGAAAGAAAAAAAAACGCAAAAAATAAAATACACAACATTTTTTTTTTGAACAATAAATAACACATTTTTTTCTATGTTCATTGGATAACGTTTAATTCTTCAATATGTGGCACGTTTGATTTATATTTCGACAGGAAATTTCTTTCCATACGAATAATAATAAGAGGAGAATGGATACAAGATGTTTTTCGTTATCTCTAGTGAAAGTCAGGACAGTTAAATAAATTTCCAGGCGTGATTCACGTTTTGACGAATAAACTATAAACACAATTGTGACGGATAATGGAAGCGTTGCTCGGTACAACTTATCGATCCTTAGTTCCTCGTGTGATGTAATGTGGAAGTTTAGAGAATGATGTACCGCATTTCCAGCCTTAATATTTGATATTTGAATACAGTCAGATCCTGATTTAACGAATCCCTATTTAACAAATTTCGCGATGTAACAAATCCCCCCCCCCGATTAAAATGAAGGCAAAAATCCCTATATAACGAATAATAAACCCCGATTTAACGAATTATCTCAACAGTTGAAAAAAAATTTATTAGCTTGTATTGAGAAAATTGGATTTTTTCCCCCGAAAACGATATCCTTTTTGTCCGGAACAGAAAAAAGATTTTTCTTGTTTGTAACAAATTTCGGCGGAAAAGGGAGTAGGCCATTTTTGACTTAACAAGTGCAGATGAGCCATGAGTGCAATTTATCGCGTGAGTTTTGAATAGGACAGGAATATCTTTTCTTATCTCATCTCACTCCACAACGCGAGGGATTTTCAGATTTCAACGATTCTGTTACATTCGATGTCGAACTGTCTATCGGTGCGACTTAAGTTCAAGAAATTGATGATTTGTCAGAGCCGATAAATAGCAATTTTGATGCAGAAATAGATATTGAAACTGTTATGATTATTACATTTTCTAATGCTTGACATTGATCGGCAACTGTGGAAAAAAACCCTCAAGCAGCAGAATGTAAATGACGCAGTATTTTCTTCTCTGCATAAAGTTGAAAAAGAATTCTTTTGAGTCAGGAATCAAAATTATTTTCAAACATATATATATATATATATTAGTCACTATTTAAAACTTACAATTAATTGGTGCGTAATAAGTGTTGAATAGTTAAAGCCGCGCAAAAAAGGTAGCACTGTTGCAGTGAGCCACTTTCATTTAGAAGCAGTCTTGTGGCAACAATTAGTGTGCAAATAGCTTTCTTAAAAGTAAATACGTTTTCTGGTGAACTTTTTATTCTCTTATGATATTCTCTTGTGTCAATATATACTTAACTTGCGATATGTGAACTATGCTATTATTAGTTGAGGAACCTTTCTATTCATAGTGAAGTATTCTTCATCATTGAAATATATTCTACAATATCAAATGGAACTTGGACTTTTCCTTGAATCGATTTTCTTTCAACAGACTGGAATTCGAAACAGAAACTTTTAGTCCTAGAATACAATTTTTCACAGTCCACTAGCTTAACTATAAAGCCTCTGTGCAATAAGTCACTAATAGTATTTTTAGCCTCGAATAAAAAAGCGTATAATTTCTCAATATGGATATTTTGAGTAACTGCTTACTATAAAATTTCAAAAAATTAAATGCAAAAAATTTGTATTTTGCTTGGACTCTGATAAAACGAATAACCTCGATTTAACGAACAAAAAGGTTAGGTCCTGATGAATTCGTTAAGTCGGGGTTATACTGTATATTTAAAAAAAAGTTACCATAGTTTTACGTTATATTTAAGTTCTGAATTAGTAATTTTAGCCGGTATAAAATAAAGAGGGAAAAAATAGTTTACAAAAAACTGTTATAGACTAACACGAATAAACTGTAAGACTTCTGGAGAAAAACTGCATAATTTTTGAACCATTGGCCCTATGACATAGATTGGTACCCAAAAGTACCCAAAGCCTGACTGCTATCAAATGCCTAAAATCCAATTTGGGGGCCCAAAACCTGACTTTGCAGGGAGGCCCAAATGTTCCCTGTTACGCCACTGGGCCATAGCCAAGCCACTCAGAAAAGGCCACCGATCACATGTGATCCGTAGGTTGAGTATCGCTGAACTAGAGTATCAAATACTCCAGCAAACACATTCCAAAAAATATTTCTTCTACCTTGTAAAAATTAATTTTTAGTAAAAATGTAATCTTGAACTCTCAGTTTTAAAAATTCCTTTTATTTCTTTTCAAGGATGTGAGCGATAACAATGAATGGATCCATGCGTTTAATATATCAAGTACATATACTTTCAGGACGATATCTATCTTTATACGTCATCTAGACAAAAATAGATAATTCATTCAGTCATGGTAATTAGATGAACGAATAGCTAGATTATTAAAACTAAATATTTTTGTTAATTTTGTGTTTAGAAGTCTGAAAAATATGTTTCAGAAGTCTTTTAACGATAAAATAATATGAGAATCAGGGGGAGTCAGTTCGTTGTAATTTTACAGTTGTATCATCTTTAAAAAAAACTGTTTTCGAAAACTTGTGTAATATGAAGAGAGAACAACAATTTTCTTTTAAAATCAAAATAAGTCTAAGGGGGAAAAAAGTAAAGAAATACTTAGCAAGGCAAGTACTCGAAGGGAAAAAACATCTCCCCCCCCCCAATAACACTGTTTACAATAGGGAGGGGGAGAAAGGAGAAGCACCCCTAAATTCTTGACCTACGAAGACACCAAAACTAACAAATGAACTGCGAGCATTACCGAATTTTCACCGAAATTCGGTACGGTTAACACTGCTCGACGGATCAAAAGACGAAAGAAAGCAAGGGAAAATATCTGGAGAGAAAAAGGAAGAAAAAAAAAAAGAGAAAGAAAGGGGAAAAAAATAAAAAAAATCTCTAAAGCTATAAATGGTACATTTCGGCCCGAGTGTATCAAAGTAAGGAGTAGGAATTTCCATTCAAAGTTGAGTACAAGACGATCGCGCGCATGCTCTTCTTCTGGGACGGGGTTGCTATAATTTTTCAGTGAATCGCTCTTTTGGCGATAGCAGTAAGCACTCTTAAAATTATCAAATCGAAGAAAGAAAGTTAAAAATACATATCGCGTAATTTTTTACATCTTTTAAAAAAATTGTTTTTCGAGTTACTTAAATTCAAAAATATCACGAAAACTTTGCTAAGCCGAAGTATTCATCCAGAAGATACTGTTTTACCACCTTTGGAGTGAACTATATATTTTTTAATTAATATTTTACGAGCTTGATACAAATGAACTAAAGATCAAGTAAAGTATTAATATCATGTTTATTTGGTGATGTAGGAATGATATTTAAAATTCATTTAAATAAAGGGCAAAGGGATCCCTATGTGTAAAGTATCTCATTTTTAATGCTTTTAAATCTCAATAAAAAACAACTTTAAAATGTCTTCTACAGATAAACGTGAAATTTAAAGTGGCATTTTTAGCAATTTCCTTTTTACAAAACTTTATTATAATATGCAATTTAGAACTTTCAAAATTAATAGCTAATAGGGTGCTTGAGTGGGTATTATTTGTTAAAGTCCCATTATAAAGCAACATGAAGACGCTATTGGTGACGGAACTTATACTTTTGAACCATGGTCAAGTGACGAGGACGACATCTGAGCAGGTACACTTCTTCCCCGAGCTTCCATGCCACGCCAACGGGAGGACTTCGGATCTCAAAAGATTTAACGTGTATCAGCCCTCTACATGCGGGTCTTCCGTGGCACTGGGGCTCGAACTCATGATATGCCGGCCACGAGTAAGTGACCGCTAGGCTACCATGGTCACCAACTGCTAAGAGGAGGAAATATTAGATTTTCAAGAAAGCATGATCTAACGCGCATAGATAAACAATTTTAAACACACACACACACACACACACACAACTTTAAATTTATAACTTCTAGAATTAAATAGAATTCAATTAATTCTATTCAAAGAATAAAATAAGCATATGAGTTTAAGAAATTAAATCAATTAAAATTCGATAAAAATTGAGTTTCAAAGGAAAAAAAAATACTCATACGAAATATTTTTAAAATATCTTTTTCATTGCTAAAAAATATTTTAAATACTAATGTAACTTTGTTTGCATCTTATATATATTTGATACATTTCACTCATTTTTAAAGGGATTTTTTATCCCTGTGTTTGCCTAAT